CAATACTTCAAAAAATCCGATCTAACGTCATCATTTCGATCTTCTTCAGTGGTTTTCTTTTATGACATCCCCAAGCCCTCCCCTCTCCCTCGAGTACACTGTTACATTCCCTGAATAAGGAAGTATGGGGGTCCATTGATATGCAAATATGCTTTAATAAATATATCAGAAATGTTTTGGAGTTTTGCTACAATCTTAGAAAACTCCTAGGTGAGCTGTATAGCTTAGAAATATTTAAAAAAGAAGGTATGTCATGAATGCATAAAGTAGATGTAATAGTCTATTTTATCATTGACAATCATAGCACATACACAAACAAGAGGTTAAAATGTTTCAAAATATAGCACACAAATATTAACAGACATTTCATGGTGCCATTCACAGGCAAGAGAAATGTAAACAAGTGCTGAGACAGTCTTCACTGCATAAAACTAACTGCAGGGCATAATGTGCTCCTGTGACTTTCCCTCCACCTCCTGTAAGTATTGTGGGAAGCTCAAGTGTTGTATCTGCTTAAACCCTGTTTGGTGCTAATCACCACAGCGTGAGCACTCTGTTCTGCGGTAAACTGTGCATCACATGAACAAGGGATCTCTTGTGGTTCTCGTGCATTTTTCACCGCATGAGGGAAATTTAGTATCATGCCATAAACCTTGGATGCCGCCCTGGGGCCCCCACAAAGATCCTCGCCCACATTACTGAGACTGGAAGCGCTCCCAGGAAACTCGGGGGCTGTGATGTTGCAGGAGAATGTTGGTAGATGCCGCAAACAGTACAGATGGACATACTGACAGACGGTTCTGTTTGTAAACAGTCAACACAAACTGATGTTCTCTTCCTTATGACTTTCTTAATAACACTTCCTCTTCTCTAGCTTCCTTTATTGTAGGAATATGGGATGTAATACCCAAAACATGCAACATATCTACTCATTGACTGTCGATGTTGATGAAGGCTTCTGATCAACAGCTGCCGAGTGGTAGTGAAGTCTAGAGCGTCAAAAGTCATATGTGGGTTTTCACTAGATGGGGGACTGGCACCCTGTTGTTCAAAGGCCAGCTGGGATCTCAGAGCCTCCTCCCCCTTTTTGCCTCCCTGTGTTCAGCTTTTGCACACACAGTCCAAGGCTCACTCAGGCCCTCACGCTGAAGCCTCCCAGCTCAGAGAGAGGGGCACAGCCAGGCTGCATGGGTGATGCTGGCCAAAGATTTCATCTTCCCATGCCTTGTTTATTCTTGAGAAAAAAATAAAAATAATAAAGGGTCTTTCTCGTTGTCCCAACGAGCAAATAAGTTAATAGTGCCAGGAACACAGTACATGTCTAATCAAAGCCAATTATTACGAAGGGACATGATTCCCCCAGCTCAGTATTTTGGTTTAACTCTTGTGTCTTTGTAGTTCACCTCCTAACTAGACTGAAAGCTCTCAAGAGCAGGGCCCACACCTTACACTTCTCTGAGCCTTGCTGTTGCATCATAAAATCTGGGTGAATTCAGTTAATATGTTAGTTCAATAACAGGAGAACAAAGCAGTCCCTTACATCAGTCTGGTGACTTCTCTTTCTTTTGACCCAGGTGAGCACACGCCCCAGAATGGAGATGTGAGCCTGCTCGCCTCTCACTGCGTACAGTTCCAAAGTCCCCTCACAGGATGAATAGACCAGCTTGCCAGTGTCACTTTAATGTTTGAAAATACATGATTTTCTGCAACATGGTCAGTCAGCACTAGCCAAGTATTTCATTTGGTGTTCTGGCAAGAGAGGACCCATTCCAAAACTGGAGGAAAATTAGTCAGGCTGAATATTTTGAGAGACAGCACAGACTCCAATACGGTACCCTCCCAAGGGACTTTCAAAGATAATTTTGACACCATGCAAATTTAAACTTGTAAGATAAATTTGCAACCAAGCTAGGAGGAAATGGAGCCTCTGCTAAAACTACTCTCCCACTTTTTGATGGATTGTGCATGGTAAGGACCTAAATATTGGTTATTGGGACTAAGGCAGAAAGAGGCTTTACACCATTGCTGTGGACTATTGCATTGCCATGGCTTCACCGCACACCTTACCGACCTCTGAGTAATAACAAACACAGCTGTGGTAACAGTACCAGCAGCAATCATTTGACTAATAAACCCTTAGAATGACCCGAAGATACAGTCATGTAATAGCTAAGAGATGGAAACAACTTAGAGGCTAAAAATACCATGGATGTACCAAATGGGATAGTATTTAGTTATAAAAAGAGATGAAACCTTGCCATTTGCAACAACATAGATGACCCTGCGGTGATTAAGCTTAGTGGAAATTATCAGGAAGAGAAAGACAAATGGTGTGCAACTTCATTCATACATGGAATATAAAGAAACAGAATGAACAAACCCTTAGTCTCTGACGAGGAAATAATGGTTCCCAGAGGGTAAGGGGGGTAGAGGGAGAGGAGGAATAGACTGAGGTCGTCAGGGGGACAGCAGCAGAAGGGGACTAGACCTTTGTTGGTGGGAATGGTGTGGAACATACGTTTATCAAGGTGTGAAGCTGTGCTCCAGAAACTTACATGGGATTGTAAGCAGTTACCTCCCCCCCACCCCACACACACACACGATGGGTAAGTTCTGGAGACCTACTGTATAGCAGGGTGGCTACAGTTAATAAGAATGAACCACACCACATACTTGAAATGTGCCGAGAGAGTAGATCTCAAGTGTCTTCACCCCACAAGCACAACTGGCAACTCTGTGAGGTGATGGATATGTTCATTAGCTTGAATGAGAAGAACTTTTCAAAAGAAAGAAGCAGGCACTAGGAATATCCCAGTTTTACAAAAAAGAAGAAACCTAGGTGTAGACAGAGAGGAAAGTGGCCCCAGCCCACTGGGGTGGTGACCCCCCCGTGAGCAGAGCCACCTTTGGCACAGCCCCCCTTTGCCCCTCTGGTCACTGTCATCTCCCTGTCAGTCTTCTCCATCAGCCCGCGAACTGTGGGAGGTGAGGAACTGTGACTTATCTAAACTTATATCCTTCAAACCTGCTTTTAACGTCTGCAAGTTTGACACAAAGACTCAGATGGGGGAAATTCAAACGTGGGGAAAGACACAACAGTCTATCAGTGTGTTGAAAGGTTACTTAATATCCCCAAAAGTCTCTTATAGTATGTCCATCAAAGACAAAGAAGTCCTTCTGAACTCTATATTGTGTTTTTTCCATGTTCTCACTGATGGAGGGAAAGGAATGCTGAAGAATTTTGAATAGGATAGAGTAACAAGAACCTATTGTATTGAACATCCTGTAACAAGAGTCTATTGTTTCGAATATTCTTACTTGAGCTAAGTTATCATATGACACTCTATACAGTGAAAGTCTCAGTATGGAAACAAACTAACCTGCCATTTATAGCTGATCATGTAATAATTGTGGACATGTCTAAGAATCTGAGGACTATGCTTTGGGGGCCATGATCTCCTAGTAAGGTAGTACCATTTCTTGGAAAAATCAGAGTTCACAGCCACTGCCTTCTCCAAGAATGTAAAATATGAAAGCTAGTCTTATTATTCTCATTGGCTTTGTTTCAGAGAGATTTCCAATGTTGACTGGAAAATATAATCATCTAAAATCTCATAATGTTAGCTATTCACTTGAGCTAAAATTAAAAATATATTATAATTGGTTAGTGTTCTCCTCCAATGATTTAATTAAATCAATTGTTCCTATTATAGAATTATAAGCACATTGCTTTTATGCTCTGTGGACAGCGTCTCAGAAGAAACAGAATCTATCTAGCAAAGAATCGGTTCAATTGGTCCAGAATGACATACCCATTTTGGAATTTAGAAATGATCATAATAGGCCCGAATGACTCTTCTTTGGCAAGGTACATGTGGTCTTCCACATCTGTGAAGACAGTTGGTTCCATAAAGAAGCCTATTTAAAAAAGAAGAAAAGAACATCAGTTATAGGGAAAGTAATTTCCAACATCAGTATTCTCATTTAATCATGATAGGTTTCTTCTTCCTTTCTGGGTCAGTAAAAACTTTCACGCTCCTACCTGGCATTAGCATTCCTAGGTTCTTGTCTTTCTATTGTCTTTACTGCAAAAATTTCAAAAATAGGCAAAAATAGAGAAAATAGCATGTGAATAGTAAAAGAGATATTTTTCCTAGTTTGCTACATTTGATTCATTTTTTTCCTTGTGGAAATTGTTGGAAGCCAATTCCAGCGAGTACAATTTTCACCTCTAAGTATTTCAGAACAAATCTGTAAAAAATAAAGGACATTCATCCCATAATACATGGCCACATCTAACAAAATCAATTCTAGTTCCTTACTCATACTTTATGTTTCATTTTCTTTATTCCAATTTTCCATTGAGCTATAGCTGACAAGGCATCAGTGTCAGGCATACACGTGGCTTGATATTTGTATTTCTGGTGGTCTAGAAAGAATGTATAGTTGATTTGTTTGATTTGAGATGCCAATAAGTTGGTGCCTTTGATTGTTAGGCTTCTTAAGTGTCCTTTAGTCTATTTGCTTTATTACTTTTTCACAGCATGGACTCGTTAACTACATGAATCAGGAATCCTATAGAATATCTTGCAGTTTATGTTTTTCATTACTGCATTGGGGTGATATTTAATATGTTCCTCTTTCCTGTATTTCCTGTATTTTTCATAAATGAAAAGTGGGCCCTAAAGGCAGCATTAGACTTGGGTGAAAATTCTGGCAGAATACCGCAGAGGTGCTGTGTGGTACACAGCCCTCGGATCGGGAAGCAGCGCCTTCGTGGGAGCTGATAGTGCCCAGTGGCACTGAGTGGGGGCAATCTGACCTGTCATTGTAAACCTGGGTCTTTCTCTTTAGAACTGGCCAACAATCTTGTGGGTGGTGTCCTGCAGACACTCAGGTCATCACCTAACAGCTTCAGCCTCTCTTGATGACCACTGAATCTATTCTTTCACTCATTTTTGGGGTACAAAGTGGTCCCTTTTTGATTCTATAGTTGTTTCTTCATTAATGACTCAGGATTCATCACCAAAAATGTTTCCTTTATTATTTATCCAGTGACCTAGAATTAATTCATATAGGAAACCTAGGACAAATGTTAATTTTTCTATTGACCAATTTTCAGAACAAGGTATTGGCATGCCTCTGGCAACAATAGTGAACAGGTAGAGCTCACGGTTCTTTTCTCTCCTTTTGGTTACCGTAACACTGAGCCAGTCACACATTTCAGTAACAGGCCCTGCTTTCGAGTCCTCCCCAGGCTGTGCTGGCTAAGATTAAACCTCCGAGCTCCAGGACCAACATTGCCAGCGCCTGAACAACCCACTTATCCATTACACTTGTGTAGTGTACAGCTAAGGGTCTGTCACAGCCATTGTGGGACAGATCTTCACAGCCTTGTAAACAGGATGTTCACCCTCCACTCCATTGGACACAGACTCAGACTCAGATTGAGGGTGTTGCATCTGAGTAGCCCTAGAAGTTGATTGCTCTGATCATAACATAAGTGCCACAATAAAAACCATCAAGGTGCATTACAGCTCAGGCAGCCAGGTGCCCTGATCCCTCCTGTGAGCAGAGCTTACCTGGCCTCTGGATTTGTCTGCCTCCATACACCAACGTGGCCCCCTCTTTCACCCCAGCTTCACAGTACTGCAGGAGCTTTTCCAGGTGTGCTTTATGATTTTGGGGTCCATGATCAGTAGATCTGTCCAGCGGGTCACCAATTTTCATCTTTTTAATTTCTTCTACCTGTATGTCACCCGATTCAGAAAACAAAATGCACTGTTAATAAGAATAACAGATAAGCTTGAGCTTCTACCAAATGGTCGGGTGTTGTACAAAGCTATTAAAGGATGTGTTTTTGTTCTGTATTATTAGGGACACTAGAGGTAAATATCATTTCCACTTTTAGATGAAGAAACTGAAGCCTAATGAGGTTAAGTGACTTGCCCCAGGGTACACCACCACTAAATACGGTAGAATTTTCCAGACTTGAAAGTCCAAGCTTCACTCACTGAGTTCAAAGAGAATAAATTCAAAGTTGGCCATAAAATCTCAGTAAGTTCTCAACCAAGAACTGCTGAAAGAATGAAAGGATACAAATTGTGTACCCAACATTGTTGATGGACTGATCCATTTACGCACTGGCATTGTGGTCTTGGCATTTGAAATGTCAGCGAGCTGTAGCTGTGAAAGCCCTTGACGTGTGGCACTGAAATCTGTATTTTATGCAGCCACAAAATCAAATCACAAAGATTTCAGGAGCAACACTGCCCACCATCTGCCTCTCCCTTACTTCCTTGTCTCTGCTCACATGGAGCCTTTGCTTTTGGGGAGGGGGAGGACTAACTGAGGGGGAAAGAAAGCGGGGAGCTGATTTTGCAAATACATGCAAATGCATGGTTACTGTCATCACGACAGAATGTAGTAGAGTTTGAATTTATTTTAATTATAGAATTCATCTTTACAGTTCTATAAATGCCTTTTAACTCAGTATAGAATTATGATCTACCTACCTACCTATCTACCTACCTACCTACCTACCTTAGTAGAGGAAATTAGATGCTGTCATATGAACCGTGAATTAAGGGTTTGTGAGTATATAACTGTGTATCTCTCATAATCAATGTAAGAATGTGTCAAAATCTAGAAGTATATCTCCTACAAATACAGTATATCAAGTATAGTATATCTAAGAGCTAATATACTATAAATACCCTTTCAAGTGTATAAGGCTAATAACAGCTCTTAAGTATACTTGGCCTTTTTTTTTTTAAGATTTATTTATTTGTGAATACAGAACTGGGGTACAGGCCAGGAGTACAGGGGTGGTGAGAGAATTCACCAGAGACAGAGTGGGGAGCAAAACAGGCAGACTGATGAAGTACACCGCTGAGGGGTACAGCGGGCAGGTCAGGAGAGGTCTGCTGGGCCATGTGGGTCACCTCTGGGGCGGGGATCGAACTCCTGCAGAAGTGGCCTCAGCTTCCTAGTGCTGTGCTTTAACCCACTGCGCCACCAAGGAGGGCCCTTGGCCTGTTTTTTACATAGACCTATATCTTTTTACTGTAAAAAATTATAAGCACATGTAAAAGTTGAAAAATAAGACAATGAAACTTCATATGCCCATCACACATGACACCACTCACTTCCTCCTGGGTTATTTTGAAGCAAACTCCTGATACCAGAGAATTTAATCTATAAGTACTATACTTCGGAAAGCATTTTTAAAAGATAAGGACTGTTGCTATTGCTGTTGTTTTCTGCTATTTTTGTTTGCTTTAAATAACAATAATACTATTATCCCACCTAACAATTCTTGCACAATGCTGTAAGTTCTTTTTGGTCAGATGCAATCATTTTAGATCCAGAGCAAATCTGAAGCTGTCTTACCACTCTTGTCACAAATTCATCGTGGATGGATTCTTCCACGAACAACCGACCAGCTGCGATACAGTTCTCTCCTTTGTTGAAAAATACTGCGCTCATGCCCTTGGAGAGCAGAAGGAAAAGTGTCAGTAACACTGTTTGGGAGGTCAGATTGTCATAACATTTCTAACACTGTGAATGGGGTGTTTCTGGAAGACAGCAGGCAACAGAGAAAAATACAATTCTGGGTCCAACTCATGGTGAGTACTACATGGAGATACTGTTTCGATCTGTCGTGTTCTTGGGGACTTTGTTTCGCCTTCCACCCCTTACTATTTACTAATCAGGGCGTACCAGTAGGGACAAATGGTGTGTTGCAGAAAATCTATGTCATGCTGTAGGTTTAAATGTAATACTTCTACCAAACTTTGCTTTTCAAAACTCTACATCAGTTTGCATAAGTCGTAAAAGTTCGGACTCACTGCACCCCCAAGTTTTAAGAACACCTTAGCAAGACAAATCAGACAGACACTGTTTTAAAAATTAAGTGCTTTGAATATTCCCAAACTAAGCATAAAGACGATGGTTTCTGTTTATGGTTACAAAATCAAATCTCACTCTAAGACTTATGATAAACAAAGAGGTTGCCGTGTTTCAGAAGCAGGCACCTATTTGGTTGGGCCTGACCTTCTCTTACCATCCGCACAGCCTTGTCAAGTTCGCAGTCACTGAATATTATAAGTGGGGATTTGCCGCCAAGTTCCAGGGAAACTTTCTTCAAGTTGCTCGCAGCACAGCTAGAGAAAAATAGATTGGAAATAACACTTAGCCTCTCTCTCTGTCTTACCTTTTTTGTTTTTTTAAGATTTATTGATTGATTGATTTATGCATACAGAACTGGGGTACAGGCCAGAGGAGCAGGAGATGAGAGGATTCACCAGAGACAGAGTGGAAGCAGAACAGGCAGATCTATGAAGTACACTGCTGAGGGGAGCAGCAGGCGGGTCAGGAGAGGTCTGCCGCGCCATGTGGGCCACCTCCGGGGCCGGAGATCAAACCCACACTGAAGAAGCTGCGATTCGCTTGCAGTGCTGTATCCCAACCCGCTGTGCCACCAGGGAGGGCCTTATCTTACCTTTTTAACTATGTTTATACATATAAAGCAAATGTCGGCCACAGGTCTACACAGAAGCTTATTCAAAGACAAAACAAGTGTGAGTGTTGGCTGACGAGTGCACGGTAGTTCATTACCCTGTGTGCTGTAGAAATTTCCAGAAATTTCCCAAAATACAAAGTTGTGTGCCTTCAAAATTGAGTGGTTCAATGATTATAGCAGCGCGTACATTCAGATTCTTTGGGGGTAAGTAGGAATTTCAGTTACATAAAGACCTAGCAAGGAATTTAACCTGGGACCAGATTACTGAAGCAGTGGAGAAAGGATGAATTTCCAAAGTATATTGTTTATTTCTCTTTTCACACAAAAGCATTATTATTTAAAGAAAAAATTTAAGTTACTTCCAAAAATGCAGAAAGAAGAAAAACAACAAATTTCCATCTCGTGGCTCAGTGACCACTGCTTTTGCCATTTTGATTTACTCATCTGTGCTCTGTGTCCAGACATAAACTTTGGCTTATTTAACATAGTTGGGATCAACTGACTTAAACAATTTTATATCTATTTTTCTTTCCCTTCACTGTGTTTTTATGACATTTTTCAAAACTATGAAAATCTCTCCATGAACATGATGACACAGAGTTCTATTATGTTGATATACTTCAACTGCTGCCTTAGACAGCTAAGGCTGCACTTTTTAAGAACTCGTGTTATTGCTTTTTGGGAATTTATTTTATAAAGTATGCAGATTTGCCGTTGACGTGTCTTTTCAGTTTCTCACTTATGCCGCAAAGACAACTTGAGATGCAGCTAGAGTGCAGAAGGGGCTTTCTGCTGGATTATCACAGTCACCACAGGGCGGAGAATCCAATATGCCTACGTCTTATTGAGTCTGTGCTTCAACACTGGGAAAGCATTTTATTACATTCAAACACTTTAAGACCCTGCAGTGGTAGGTATTTTCTCCTCTAAATTTGACGTGCTTTTTCGCTCTCAAAGTGCCTACTTCAGAAAGCAAAATGAGAACAAAAACCTGGTTTCAGAGGACATGCAGCAACCTGACACATACCTCTTCATGATCTGCTTGCCAATGGGCGTGGACCCCGTGAAGCCCAGTTTGCGGACGTCAGGGTGCTCAGAGAGGCGCTGCCCGGCCACCCCACCTGCAGCATTTCGGGGTAAAACATGCATTGAAACACTTGTACTCTTATAGTGGAGAATTCATAACTGGACTCCTAAGATCTCATTTAGATCTTAGCTTTATGTTTTCTGTATTCATCACAAACTCACAAAGATGTCCATAATGCCCTCTGTGCCCCTAAAATGACAAAGCAGCCTTGGTTTTTCCTTTCAAAGTAGTATTGGGAGAGGGAACCTGGTCCACTTTAGGGAAGCTGCCCAGTTGCCGGCCCCCACTCTCCTCACTTACCCCTCCATGGCCACGGGACTCAGCCCAGAGTGGCGTGTTTATCCTTAACCGGTGGCTAAACTGGATTTAATTTTAATACAGTTGCAGTTCAGGACAAAACTCCAGTGGGAAAGCAGCCACTCAAGTGCTCTGGAAGCAGCGTTCCGTCTAGCCAGAGGCTCACGCGACATCTTACCTGAGCCTGGGATGATGTTGATCACCCCCTTTGGAAAGCCTGCCAGAGCGGAAAGTTCTGCAAACTTCAAAGCTGTTAAGGGCGTGACCTGGAGAGAAGCAGACAGCAATTGCCCTCTTCGGACTCAAAAACTGTACAGAATTCCCTAATTTGGGGGCATTTGGCATTTTGCAGTGGATTTCACTGATGTACACTCCACTTGCTTCCACTGTCATGAAGCTAAATCATGCCGCCTCTTGAGGAAGTATTTGATAGCAGCTACCTGTGAACAAGCACTAAGGTGGAAAGACGCCCATGACATAGGAAATGGGGTCACGATACACAGCCCCACTTTTGCTTAAAGACATACCCTATATAAATGTATGTCTTATTTTCAGGTACATCTGAGGGGGCATTTGCGCCTGGCCTCCTGCCTCTCACCTGTGCAGGCTTGAGCACTAAGGTGTTGCCGGCCGCCAAGCAGGCGGCGCTCTTCCAAGCCAGCATCATCAGGGGGTAGTTCCAGGGGATGATAATGGCGCAGACGCTGCAGGGTAGAAAGACCATGGCTTAGTTGTCTCGAACTCGGAGCACACGCGGGTCAGAGGCTCTCTCCTCGTCTTACCCAAGCGGCTCCTTCTTAGTGAAGGTCAGGTTGCGATTGGGGCGGGCCTGGTTGATTGGAATCGTAGAGCCCTAGAGATATAAAGGGCGACCCTTATTTTACCAACTTAAATGAGTCAATTTAAACTCAAAGATTCCATTTTCTGTCCACCTCTCTTATTTTGCTTTAGCTGATGTGAAAAGGCAGTGTTCGACCCATAAGAAATATATCCACGCCAAAAAGGAACTGCTGCGTTGGTTTTGAAAGAATCGAGACGCCAGAGGATTCACATAATTCAAATTTAGTCACCTCTGATGTGAAAAGGCAGTGTTCGACCCATAAGAAATATATCCACGCCAAAAAGGAACTGCTGCGTTGGTTTTGAAAGAATCGAGACGCCAGAGGATTCACATAATTCAAATTTAGTCACCTCCATTCCCAATTTCTTGGCATAGCAGAGAGTGTTTACTGATGGCCCAGCATTCTTGCTTCTGTGTGCTCTCCGTAACAGCACTCCTCTATGAAATTACCCAGATAAGAGATGATGCTCTCCAGGTTCCATGGCAGAGAGTGACGGCCAAGTGTGGTTTTCTGTTGTCACAGTACATACTGTCAACTTCCTTACGGTACAAGGGAACGTGAAATATTCTTGGTACTCAGGTCTTGACTCTTTTACCTTAGAGTCAGACTGCTTAACCCACCTGTTATTACTCTGGTCTCTGCAAGAGATCAGGGATTTTGCAATCCCTCCACCTTGGAGGGCTTCTCCTTAAATACCCTAGAGACTAATAGACACTCTCAGGATACATTATAATAAAGAACTAAACATCATCACACTTCAGATTCTGAAAATCTTGCATCCAAGACCTAGCTCTATGGTTTACTGACTTAAATGTGCCGCAGTCAAATCATTCATTGTCTTCACCCAGTTTCCTTACCTGCCATGAGGGATAATAAGCATCCCCTCCTGGAGGCAACTGTTAAAAAGGATGAGGTATGAAAATCTCACAAGAGGAATAAATACAGTGTCTCCACAGAGGAATAAATGTGGTTCCCTTTTCCTTTCGGAGTGACTTAGAAGCATGAGATGACATTTGCACTAACCTGGATTTTGTCACACCAGCCAGCAAAATATCTGAATGTTTGCACAGACATTCCAATGTGAGTCTTCAGAGCCAACGTGTAGACGGCCCCTGAATCCAGGGCCTCAATAGTTGCCAGTTCTTCTTGGTTCTCTTCCAGTAGGTCTGCAAGTCTAGTGGTCAGTGAAAGAAATTCATTCAGCAAGCATTGATCGAGCCCCTGTTATTCACAAGCTGAGATGAACACAAATGGAACAGGTCTCTGTCCTCATGTCTCCAGGGACAGGCAGACACTTAAGAAATAAATTCATAAATCACTGGCTGCAAGAGTTACAAAGGACAAGCAGAGGGTGCTGGGAGCATGTGTGATTTGTCTTGCAAATGTGTAAGAAGTAGGACAGCGACTGTGTCCCAATCATTCAAGGAGATTAGTGATGTGAGGGTGTTCAGGGTGATGTCAGCAAGTACCCACAGCTCCCGTGAACCTATGAAACAATTGCAGTTGGTGCAGAACCATTTCCAACACTCACTAAAGAGTACACGATAGCAAATGAATATGATCAGCACAGTAGACTTCTGTCTGGTGCCGTTTCTATAGGAAGACATGCCTGGAGTTGTTTAATGATTATAAAATATTAAAAATTCATTTTTTGTGCTTGCCACCACCATTTCTTTTCCTCCCATCCGTTAGTGGTTCTCTGAGCCACTTCTTCGAACCCTTCTAAAGCTGGAGGCCCTCCCTCTCACTGCCCACTGCTGCTTCTAGATTCTATTCTTGAGGGATCTTTTGACAAAGGCCAGCTGTTTTGGCTTCAGGTAAGTAGAAAGTTGAACTTGTGTGTCTAACTGCTCTGGGTATCTCTCTTAGTGATCAGTTTTCAACACCCTTCCTGGACTTAGTATTTTCCCTCCTTGCTCCCATTCCTAACATATCAAGTAGACTTTAAACTTGTCTTTAGAAATAACAGTGCAATGAGTGACACCACCCGGTGTTTTCTTTTTTGTTTCTGGCTAATTTCACTAAGTATGATCCCTCCCAGCTCCATCCATGTTGCTGCAAAAGGCATGTGTTTATCTTTTTGATTGCTGAGTAATATTCCATTGTATATATGTGCCACATCTTTTTAATCCAGTCTTTTGTTTTGGGGCATTTGGGTTGATTCCATGTCTTTCCTATTATAAATAGAGCAGCAATAAACACGGGGGTGCAGCTGTCCAAGGGATCAGGGGAAAAAAGAGACAAACAAATGTAATAGAATACAAATGAAACCAAAGAACAATTATAAACCAGAGACATTTTATGGGGATGAGAGGGAGGGAAGGGATTGGAACTGGGGTGGGGAGAGTGCATTGGACTATGGTGATGGCACACGGGTGATTTGGTGGTGGGAAGCCCATAGGGATTACAAGTGAGATGAAAAAATGCACAAAATGAAGAATGATGTAAAAAATAAAAAATAAGAAAAATATTACAATCAAAAATAAGAAAAGAAATTCCAGTGCAGAAAATTTAAAAAAAAAGAAAGAACAGTGCAGGACAGTCTCCACCTCCTGCTCCCTCTTCCTGCCCCACCTTTCCCCGCCTGGAGCATGACCTGTCCAGGCCCACGTCTGTGCCGCTGTGCTCTGACTGGGCTTGGCTAGTGAGAGGCCAAGGGTGAGAACCCCCGCCCCGCCCAGGACTGGCAAACTCGGGAGGAGTGGTCGGGAGTAAGTTCTCTGATTCCCTCACAGAGGAGCTGGGCTCACCACTGCTGCATTTCTCCACCACAAACCCTGCAGAGTGGTTTCCACCTACACGCACAGAGCTTGCCAGACTCTGGTGACAGCCCATCCTGGCCCGCCCGCGTCATCCCCCCTCTCCTTTCCTGCCTGGACACTTTATTATCCTTTGCTGGAGTCCCTTGACCTTGCCCATTTCTTTGTAAATAGTCCTGTGCTAAATTTTCTTTTCCTACTAGGATCCTGACTGATACAAACAATGATACAGAAACTCACAGAGGCAGGGTTTTATGAAATGCAAGTAGCAGACATATATACTAGGCACATTCTAGAATGATTTTATCCTAGAGTACTTTGAAAAAAATTTTAAAAATCTTATCACATTAGCTTATTTCAAAGGTAGCATACTGGTATTTTTTAAAAAAACACACCTGTACATCAACCTTCCTCTTTCTCTTGCATTCATTCTTCCCCATTCACCATTTTCAAAAGCATCTTTCGCTGCAGCTACTGCTTTATCGACATCCACCAAAGAAGCATAGGATACTCTGCATATTGTCTATTTCAAGAGAAGTAAAAAGGTTGTAGCTTCCATATAGAGAATATATAGACATATTGGAATTAACATATTAGCTTTGGATTGTGCAATTCAAAGAATTTTATGACGCAGAAATAATATGCCCGGCAATATAGTAACGAAAATGAAATGATTTTTAACATGAAAATTGTGAGTCTGACAGAGCTGGTCCTTTTCCAGTCCCACTGCAGCGTGGAAGGATGCATCTTGGGGGCGTAAGTGCTGCTTCAACTGGCCCAGGGAGTTGAGCTTCTCCCCATGAGCTTGCAAAGTATGCAGTTCCCCACATACAGTTACACAGGGAGATGCCTCTGACAGGTATAGGTGTCTGTCTAAATTCATCATGAGTATTAATTCTATAAAACATTTACTACAATAGTTACTACAATAGCAGCCGGTCCCAGAGGTGAATACTGAAAGAAATGGTGTTCAGTGAAAGATATTTATGTTAAACGCTCAGAGGCAGAGTGATAGAATCAAGCAACTTAAGACGGTCACTTTCCAGCTCTGCATGAGGCCACAACTGACAACCCGGGGTTGTTGCACTCAGGAGTCGTCACTCACCGATCCGTCCGTCGGGTTGATGGTGTCGTATGTCTCTCCATCATCAGCATCAGTGAACTGTCCGTTTATAAAGCACTGATAAGGCATTTTAACCGTCCTTTCGTTGATCTCCTTTGACACCTTAAGAGCGAGAATTACGTTTAATAGATTCAGCAGATTTCTGTGCTTATCCTTTTGGTACTAAAGAGCAACAGAGAAAGTTATTCATTAATGCAGAGGGATAAGGCAAGTTGGGGGGATTCTCGTTCTTACTGTCTAGAAGATACGAGTATGAAATATCTGGGTATCGTGATACACTGAGTGCTAAGCACTGACAACTAGCAGGAGTGTGATGGCCAAGTACTCCAGGCTCAGCCCAGAACAGTCGCAAGCCTTCCAGATGAAGGAAACACCGCCACCTAGCGGCAACGTCTCTAGCATACAGTCACTTCTTGAAACCATTGAAATTGCTTTTGTCTGTTGGTTTCTTTTTACACTGTTAGAACTTTAAATTTCCTTTCCTGATGTTCCTCCCCATTTTCATTTCTCTTTTACATACAAATGACTTTCATTTTATTCTCTTCCAGAGATAGTAAGTGAATTTAAGTTAGTTCATTAACTTGGATGAAATTCCGTTTTTCCCCCAGCAATAACATGGTGATAATGATACCACTTGAGTTATTATGAAGAATAATTGATATATGTGAAAGAGCACTGTGGGCATAAAACTCCATATGAGTGCAAGGCACTAAAGAGGAAATTTAATGATTTTTTTAAGATATTTATTTATTTATTCATACAGAACTGGGGTACAGGCCAGAGATGTGGAGGGTGGGAGAGCCACCAGAGACAAAGTGGGGAGCAGAACAGGCAGATCTACGAAGTACACTGCTGAGGGGAGCAGCGGGCGGGTCAGGGGAGGTCTGCCGCGCCATGCGGTCACCTCCGGGGCAGGCGGGGATCGAACTCATGCAGAAATGGCCTTAGCTTCTTAGTGCTGTGCTTTAACCCGCTGCGCCACCAGGGAGGGCCGAAATTTAATGATTTTAAAGATAATTTTCATCTAGAGAAACCGATAATACTTACAAAAGGGATAGCAAGTGGGACCACACCTTATCCCACACCGAGTACTCAGACTCCATGACATAAGTCCACGTGTCATGGAGGAAATTTCATCTGAAATGATGTGTTAAGTCCCTGCACATAGTCCAGCTTTCTAAACTCACCCTTCTGGGAATAAGCTAAGAGCTTTAAATATAAATAGCCCCCCAAATCCCATGAGACGGATAGTATCATTGTGCCATTTAAGACCTAAGACTTAGAGAAGTTAAGTAACTGCAAGGGCCAGACAGCTAACAAGCAACGTTACTTGGATGCAATCACACGTTGGTCAGCCCCCAACACTCATGTCCTTAAGCAGATGATGTTGTATTAACCATAAGTGGATGAGAAGTCCTGGAATAGAATAGCAGCTTTGGGTTCTCTGAAAATCTGCTCCTTCCTAAAAGCCAAGAGAACACTTAAAAATATTGTCCAAATTATTTTTCTCAGAACTCTGAAAATGAACCAAAGGCTTTCAGGAATCCATTTGCTCAAGAAAAACAGGCGAGTCTCTGCAAGAACTGTCAGTTTTGCGGCATATTCACTTGCTTTCGTCCAGTCTCTCTTGCAAGAGTTCTCTAGTAACCTGGGATGCGAGTAGTAACTCGTACACCATACAAGGCCAGTTTGTTACCCTTGCAACTAGGGTTTATGTGAAAATCAGCAGCCATTAGCCACGCGGGGAGGAAAGTTTATACTTGCAGTTTTTAACAATAAGACTTTATTATATTGAGATATGACCTAGATACTATGGAATTCTTTATTATATTGAGAAACAGTTCAGATACCTTGAAATTCACCCTTTAAAATGTATAATTCTTTGGTTTTGAGTATGTTCACAGAGTTTTGCAACCACTACCACTATCCGATTAAGGAACATTTTTATCACCCCAGAAGGAAACTTGTATCTGCTGGCAACATTCTCTGCTTAACTCTCCTCTACCTCCGAGCCCCCCAAAACACTGACTTGTGGATTTTCCTAGTCTAGACATCTCATCTGAATGAAAGCATACACTACATGGCCTTTTGCATTTGATTTCTTTCCGTTAGCATCATGTACTCAAGAGTAACATGTGTGGTAGCATACTTCATCACGTTGATTCCTTTTTTCTAGCCAAATAATATTCCAGTATACAAATATATCACTTTTGTTTATCCCTTCTTCAGCTGAGGTACACCGGGTTTTTTATTTATAAATATATTAACACAAATACATGAAAGCACAGAATTCCTCTCTAGCCTCTAGATCTTAACAATTTAGATTGGAAACACCAAGGCAAAGCTTACATAGTCCACTATGAGTTCTGCTTCCTGATCTTCTCCCCTCAGCTTCCTCACGACTTTCTGGATGAAATCTTCAAACCTGGTAGCCATGTAGACATCTTCATTCTGTAACTGAAGCCCACCGCATTTCTGTTTGATCTCTTCAACCAGCCTTAAAGTAAGAACCAGGTCATGTTACTTAACATTTTTAAAAGGGTGAAGGGGGACTGTGTGATTATACTTGTCAAGTTACTCTGAGTATGACTTATATCAGACAGCTGCTTATATCTCTGAGACCCTCTATGATGATAAATCAATGAAACTGAGAAGACTCAGAAGAAAAATGTTTAAAAAGCTGCCTTGTGGTAATATTTTTGTTTTTAATTTTTTACATGACTAAAAAAAATCAAGGTAAACACATTTTAGTTATTTGCAAGCAAGATAAAAACAGGCACGTAAAATCAGTTCCTTTCCATTCAAATCTTCTCAAGGAATAATAAGTCATAAATAAAGGAATTTTCCGAATGTAATGCTTAGGAGAAATAACTGTCATATAGAATATTTTCTTTACATTAAGTGTAAGAATAGAACACTTACTTAATTACTTGATTGGTGTAAGTACTAACGAGAACCATTCTGTATGTAAGTCAATCTCATTTTTTAACTCCTTCCCCATCCTCTGGCTGTTAATTGTTCTGTTAATTTGGCTATTAATTTTTCAAATAGAAATTATTTTTGGACATTTCTTAAATAGGAGTGGTATACTAGATATAATTGGAAAACCTACTGCAGTTGCTCATCTATTCTCAAAAATAAATGAGGTGCCTTTGTAGTTTGGTGAAAATATCAGATACTAAGTCAGATACTCAAACAGGAGGTGAGCTACTCTTGCAGGAATATCTTGTTAGCAAATAAATCCATAAATGATATTAACAGTACTTTAGTTAAAGATGTGGGAAGTTTCTGGGAACTCACAAACTGTAGTTGAGAAATTGGCAATTGGAAAAAGCCAAAATCTTGGACTTCTGATAATGATACCCTTGATATGACATTCTTTAGATCATCTTTGGAATAAAATCTCCAGGAATGAAGACACTATCTCATTCATGACCGTATTCATGTCAAAAACCATTTCTGATATTTAGTAAGTGCTCAATAAGTTTTGTGAAATAAATGAAAAAAGGTATATCTCGCCACCATGGACACTTGCTGTGTCAAAAGGAAGGATATGTCAAAAAGCAACATTCTTCACCCTGTTCAGTTAGTGGATGGGTATCATGTGGCCCTCAAAATGAAATACTTTGCTGGGTTCTCCATTATTAGGGTCCTGATAGATTCTCCTTGACAGAGAGGGTCCTTCCAGGAACGACTCCAGTCATGTCAATTTGCTATAAATTTCTAAAGAGAAATTCTGACTTCAGGGTGATTATCTCTACTGTTGCAAGTAGCCGACTAGTCCTCATTTTAGATGTGTCTTGCCGGGCAATTTGGATGGATAGGAAAGAAAAATGAGGGGGTGGGAAGGGACAGAATTAATAGTAAGTATGGACTACATAGGATTTCCTGATTATCATTCTCTGCCCTGAGCTTCCCAATTCCCAGCTCATGTTATAGGAAAATCAGCTATGTGAGGACAAATTTTTAAAAGAAACAAACAATCGGAAGGGTTCTGTTTCTAGGTAAATAAGCAATAGGTAAACAGTTTCTGATTAGCCACCAAAAGCAGGGAGCAGGGCTTCCCTGGTGATGCAGGGATTAAAGTCTCAGCGCTAACAGCTATGGCCAGTCACTGTGGCCTGAGTTCCATCCCCAGCCAAGGAGCTGACCCACATGGTGCAGCAGACCTCTCCTGTCTCGCCTGCTGCCCCTTCAGCAGTGGCTCTTAGGGGACCCACCTGTTCTGCTCCCCACTCTTTCTGGTGGACCCTCTTACCCCTTACATCTCTGGCTTACACCCAGGTCTTATATACATAAATAAATAAAAATACATCTTCAAAAATAAAATGCATAAAAAAATAAAAGTGGGGGACAAGTAGATGTGTTTGACCTGGAAGTAAACAAACGAACCCAGAGAAGATCAAGTTGGGAGAAATGTGGTGGGTATGACTGAGTGAGAACATCCACCAGAAGGGTTCTAATTTGATTTTCAAAGTCAAAGTCAAAATCCCTAGTGGAGGGTGAGAGTCAATGACAGATAGTGGTGTCACCTGACAACGTCCATTGAGCTCGCTCCAGATTTAAAGAAGTCTGTGGTGTTTTCAATAACAGGCACGTTGCTTAAAATTCCAGCCCAGATGACCTGTAGCAAAAGAGAGTTTTTTAGGAGGGCGGTGCCACACAGCCACCCCTTGGCTGGCTCCTCACAGTACCTACTTCTTCCTCTTGGATCTGTGACCTGAATACTTCTCAGCTCTCCTGCGCCCATGCTGTGCAGCCATCTTAAATGAGTATGAACAAAGGGACCTGTACGCCCTGTCTGAGCTCATGAAAATCCTCCCTCACAGAATTCTCTACGCTTTTGCTCTTCTGGATTGTCGAGAGTGGAAACGATCCCCACGTGACCTTGAAGACAGCAAAGCCTGGGCCCCTGCATGAGAGCATCCCGAATCCTCAAGGCTGCAGCTTTAGCCTAATGCCTGGGCCAACCTAGAACCACCTCGGACTATCTATGTGAATGAGCAGCGAGCGGCATGTTTGCATATAGGTGTGGGGCTTCATTTCCTCTGACAGCTGATAGAAAATACGAGAAAGTAGAAAAGGCCACCTACTTTGAGGACGGATGGTGCCAGTTACAAAAGGCTTCAGCTTCCCAAGTGAAGAGGGGCATGGAGGGCTTCACAGGCTCACCTTGATGGTCTCTGCCACCTTCGCCTCTTCGGCTGTAAGTTCTATCACTGATGTCTCACCCGCTGAAAAGTACTGAGAGGCAGGAATCATTTTTCCATCTTCAAACTGCAGACTTCTCACCATCAGCTACAAAATGGCAACGCCCACACAGGAAAATTGAGGAACAGGACAATTCAACGCAAAGTTGATAAGAGGAGTCTTAGATATGATATAGGTATGAAGAGCATATAAATAGGAATTAAAAGCACTCACCATTATGTGCAAAAGGACTGAAATGGACTGGCTAACTTAGCTTATTTATTTATGATTGATTTTTTTACAGATATTTTACGATTTATTTACAGATATTTTACATATTGTTCATTTTTTTTTTTTTACGTTTGCTTTCTCCTCTTGGGTGTAGTGACCTAGTTTATTTAAATATGGAAACAGGTGCTAGCATTACCCTCATTTTACTGATAAGAAAATTGAGGCTCAGTGAGATTAAGTAATTAGTCCAACGCTACACAGCTCAGAAATATCTGAGCTGGGAATGGCACCCAGAACTAGTTGGACTCTCAAACCTACGACCTTGGTAACTGTGTGTCTTGCGAGCTACCAGAAAGCGCCTTATAATCTGCAACATGCCATTTGCTTTCTTCACTGGGGGCCCCTGAGCCTCAGCGCCCATACCTCACTCCCAATACAGGCACATGGGTGGGTGGCGGCCTGGGGAGAAAAAGCCGACACGCCTCTGGAGGAAGGTCACATTCACCTCACTTGATACCCCAGGACGCTGGTATGGGGAGCAGAGAGACACGTCACTCTGTTCCCGCAGCGATGAAAACGGAGGCTTAGAGGGAAGCGGCCTGGCTGAGACAAGTCGATGGTAAGACAGAGGCCATGTCCGCCTCCTGGCTGGACTCCAAGCTCATCCTACACGGTCACAAAGCTGCCTGCGGGTCTCGGGGCCCATCCTAAGGGGGCTTGTCCTTGTCAACACTCAAAGAGCCTGCTCACTCCAAAGAGAAGTGGGGCACAGGCACCTCAGGCTTCCCACCCCCCACTGCAGAGCCCGGTGACCTCCCGAAGGCAGTGACCTCCCGAAGGCAGTGACCTCCCAAAGGCAGTGACCTCCCGAAGGCAGTGCCCTCACAGCAGGGGTAGAGAAGGAAACTGACAAGTTCTCTTATAGGTGACCCTGCGGACACTCACTGCTTTTCCATCGTTACCAAAAAGAACGAGTCCATTTTTGGTGACAAGGCCAGGCTTCTTGGCGCCTTTAATTTCTAGGCATTCTCCAGGAGGCACAGCGCGGTTCAGTAAGGACGAGCCATAGAAAGTGACCATCTAAGAAAGAAACAAGAGCTAGGTTGTGAGATGAGGAGGGGAAGGCTGTCTCTAGGGGTGTGTACAAGCAACATCCCCTACAGAAACCTGGAATTCAAATGATTATTCATGATCACTTTAGGACACCCCAATGTGAGAGACCGTGCCAGACATCTGGAGACCGAGCCAAACAAGAGCTGGTTTGCCAATATGTGATTGAAGAGGTTCAACGCTGTCCCACAGGTAGGCAGCCTGGATACATACACGTATTATTCATTCACTCAGAACAAGGAGAATGAGGCAGAAAGCTCCCACAGACTTTGTAGGCTAAAGGTAGGTTTCCAGGGGATTGGAGGTGTATGGGACAGATGCACAGTAGGAAAACAAACCCCACAGATCTTCCTCCGCTTGTGGTGGGGTTAAGTCTGAAAAATCCTTTGTAAATTGAAAATATTGTATATTAAAAGTGCACCTAACCTACCAAACAGCACAGCTTAGTCACACTGACATTAGCCTGCAGCTGGGGAATCACGTAGCCTGTTTTATAATCAAGCGTTGAGTAGCTTCTGTCGTTTATTGAGTTAAGTACCAAAATCAGCCTGGGGACGATGGTGGTTTTCCTGGCGATTGTGAATGACTGGGAGCTGCCCCATGTCACGAGAGAAAAGTCCTCACTCGGTCTCGTCGCAAGTTCTTACTGCGTCTTTAAGCCAAATGATGCATCTTGAAACTAGATCCCCCAGAAGTTTTTAGTTCAAAAAAAGTCCGGATCCCCACCTTCCATCTCCCAGTCAACATTTATGGAATAGACTTTAAGGAAACATCAGGAGAATGCTGCTGTGCGCCCCTGGTGGCCAGTTTGGGAAATAGCAATGGTCAAACTTTCGTCTACGGAAAGGTTACCCTTTTTTTCTTTTCTTTTTTTGGATGGGAATGTAGATTTCATTTGCGTGACTGAAAAGGAAGCAACTCTTTTGCTCTCAGAAGTGCAGGGCTGGTCATTTGTCCAGGGAGCTGTGATTTGGGATGTACTTGCCCCATAGTCCTCTGGGATGAGCCACTTTTCGGAAACCATGTCTTCAAACTCATCTGCATTAAACTTGGTAAAGTCCCTTTTCTTACAAAGACGGATAGTCTGGCCACCAGGGAACTTGAACTTGGCCCTGCATAGTGCCTCAGTGACACACTCCTTGTTCCGCAGCTTGGTGCTTATGGATGTGATGACTCGGCCAGTATGGACTCTGGCTGCTGTGCCCTGGGGCTGTCCAGAGTCACCCCCAAACCCCCTCCACACATCCCTGTCTGGAGCCCAAGATGGGGGGAAGCTTGAGATCTGACATGAACATACGTTACAAAGGCCTTTCTCCAAGGTCCCTTAGGGTAACACATAAGCACAGGCGCATAAACAGCCAAAGGCCGTAGGCAGCAGCCCCTGCTCCCCAGGTCCGTGGGAGGAAGAGCAGTGGACTGGATCAGCTCAGATGGTTGTCTCTTCTGCACCTTGGTAAGCTGGCTTATTTCAACACAGTGTCTGTCTGTATTACAGTGCAGTAGAGAAGTGATGAGAAGTGAGTGCTTGGTAGGAGGACTGGAGCCAGACTGTCACCAAGAGAACTTGACATCCATCTTCTGGTGCAATTGCTGTGATCAGTTTATGCCAACTGGCGATCATTTATTGAACAGTATAAGAGCTAACATTTATTGAATCCTTACTCTGTGCCAGGAACCAAGTAATTAATGAATTCATCTGTGTTAACTCACCTAATCTTCACAACAAACCATGACCTACGCAGAAGTCACTGTAACTATTCCCATTTGCAGTGAGGAAACCAAGACACCGAAAGGTTAAGGAGAATGCCCTCCTTTACAACGCATTTTAGCAGGAGCACCATAGTCTCAACCACTGCACTGAACAACGGCCTGGTCTTTCATTGCTTTTGTATATTTTTATTAGCACCTAATATGCATTGAGAACCCTCCTTAAATGCTGAGATTATCAGGATGATAACTGGAGGAGGAGATGCAGATTAATAACAACACCAAGGCAGTTACAGCAGAAGTAGTAGTGTATCGTTGGTACTTAGGGAGAGATACCCAACCCCACCAGGGTGTAAGACAGGTCAGGAACTTTCCTAGAAGGGGTATAATCTCAGTCTGTGGGTGCCTGCCCCTTCCCACTTCTCCCCTGCCTCCACACCTGCTCCTCCCACCTGAGGCTCAGGCTTCATGGAACTCTTTCACAAGTTCCCTGACTGGGAAATGTGTTCCCCTGCCTCTGGGTTTTCACCTCCCTGTCTCTAGTCTCCTGTGTCAATGCTGTCTGTCATGAGCAAGTGATGTGCTCAGCTTTTCTTTTTTCTTTTTTGAAAGTATATCTCTACATTTATTATTTTGTTTTGTATTGTTTAATGTCTCTAATATTTCTTAAATTTTAACTTTGTTCTTTTTTAAATTTATATATATATTTTTTTAGTGCTCAGCTTTCCTAGAAATTTTTCCTCACATGTCCGAGTCTAGGCCTCAGTGACAGCACTAGTCTTATTGCATTGTACTTATTCAATTCTCCACACAACTGTAGGCTTCCTAAGAGCAGACGCTGGGACTGGGGTCTGCTCATAGCAAATGTTCGATATTTGCTGAGAAAAGAGGGAGGGTTTTTTTTGAGTTCTTCAGATAGGCCTAGAATCACCAAGGAAAAGACAGTACTAAATATAGTATCTCTTACAAAGGTAACATGAAAAAGCCTGGAACATACCTGTCCATTTATCTCTGTCCAAGCTCCGGGGACTTTATCATGACCTCGGATCCAGTTGTGCAAAACTTCAGCAGACTGGTCCCAGGAAATCTAGGAAAGCACAGAGCACAGACTCAACCTCCTCGTGTTTCCAAAGGCAACGGAAGCAAGTATCTCCATCAGTGGCAGAAGTTGGCAGAGCTAGTGCAGGCTGACCTGGAGAGCTATCACTTGGTGAGAACATGGCATACTGGGTACTGAAACAGGAAGGCCCTGAACTTGAGGTGCATCAGTGCACTGACATAAATACCTCAGCATTCTCCTTCTTCTGGATGCCTTCATAGGTTGCCCCTTCTTCTGGCTGGGGAATACGAGGTGCCTTTCCATCAGCTATGAGTTGCACAGCTTCCACCTAAAACCAGAAATGTTACCTGTGGCCTGTGTCATAAGCCAGTGGTCAACAATGGCAGAGCCTTGTGGCCCAAATTCCTGCTTACCAGAATCACTACATGCAAATCTGCGCACAGAGTCACATTACAATACCAACTACCATTTCTTTAGGTCTTGCTGTACGCAAGGCAGAGTGATAGCTCCTTTACGTAGAATATTCTTTGCAAACATCACAACAATTCTGCAAGGTGGATGCTATGATTCCTCTTTTACAGGTGAGGAAACTGAAGTTCAGCAAAGTTAGGCAACTGGCTCGACATTGCCGAGAAAGCTTGGAGGTGTCAGAAGTAAGATCTGTGTCCAGGACTACCTTCTGCCTGCATCAAGCAAGGACTCTTAAAAATGACCCCCTTAAATAAACTTCAGCCCCCATTTGATGGTTTAATGGATATTTTCAGGACACAATTATGAGATAAGTCATCATCTATTATTTTGTCTCATTATGATTATTCTTAAAAAGGAATATATTGTTATATTAATGCTTCTCAATTTGCTTTCTACCTTAGCAAACCTGGAGTAAAAATGAAAATGAAAAGGAATCCACAAGTTTGATTGCCCTTGTGATGTGTCCTTCAGTCTCTCCTGTGTCCTGTTTATGTTCACACTGACTATAGAGTCGCTCTCCTTCACTGGGGGGACCTACAGAAGCTCAAGTTCTCAGTTTTCTTACTAAATACAGCTGCTGACTGTTCTCCCCAAGAGCACAAGGACGAAGCTGCCTGGAAGAGGGCCGAGCTCCTAGCTCATTCTTCCACCCACTGCTGGTCGTCCAGCACCACATATAGGGTCCAGGCTTGAGCAAATGGTGTTGAACACCCGTATTACTATCTTGAATGTAACTATCTGTTTCTAACACTTACTATGGGTCAGATGCTTACCGCAACACCACATAATTTTCACTACAACCCTATCAGTTGGGCATTCTGTACATTTTATAGATGAGGGAGCCAAAGCTAAAGAGGCTAAGTGAATTGTCTATTGTCATTTCAACAAGTATGTGGTCAAATGAGAACTCTGGCACCTTTCTGACACCAAAGCTCTTCTCTCTAAAGCATTGCTTTCTGCTCCCCTAAACTGATGACTGTGGCTTGGTTTTATCATCAGATTGTACATTTCTGGGTGGCTACTTCTGCCATATAAAGCACTGGAAACAAATACGGACACCAAAAACATCTTTCCACATACTTATAAGCTAATGGATTTTTACTTTGTGGTGCACATTCTTTGAAATGTTTATCCAGAGCACAATCTGAATAAATTTTACAAATGCCAGGTTACATTAAAAAATACATTTGAGGCCCTCCCTGGTGGCGCAGCGGGTTAAAGTATAGCACTGAGAATCTGGAGCCGCTTCTGCATGAGTTCGATCCCTGCCTGCCCCGGAGGAGATCCACATGGCACGGCAGACCTCTCCTGACCCGCCCGCTGCTCCCCTCAGCAGTGTACTTCCTCGATCTGCCTGTTCTACTCCCCACTCTGTCTCTGGTGAATCCTCTCACCCTCCGCATCTCTGGCCTGTACCCCAGTTCTGTAGGAATAAATGAATAAATCTTTAAAAAAAAATACATTTGAAGGAAGTCCAAACCACACAGAAAAATTTCTTAAGATTCTGTACACTTCTTTATAAATAAGGTTTGGAGATTCAAGAATATGACAAAATAAATGAAGTTTTCTCCTTCATCTGTTAGATCACTGCTTGCAGAAGAAACGATCAGTTTTACAGACTAAGAAATTTTAAGGTTCATATTCCCATCCTAAACATGTCATTATTGGTAAATATAAAATCAAATTGATTTTTCAGCTTTATATTTTTTATTAAAATGAATACAAATTCTTAGTAAAAAAATTACTTCGAAAACTTTGAAAGGGTTAGAATCTCTTTTCGATGATATACTGACCATGGCCTTGATTCCTTCTGGGAAAAGAAACCGATTATATAGTACATCCACTGTGTCATTGGGTTCAACATCACAGGACCTCTGAAGAAGGATGGGTCCTGTGTCTAAGCCATCATCAGCCCAGAAAATGGAAAACCCAGCCTTCTTATCTCCCATAATTAGAGTCCTGCAAAGAGAAGAATTTCAAATTAAAGTATTAGTTAACTATCATAAAATGATGTACCACGGCCTCCCTGGTGGTGCAAGAGGTTAAAGAGCAGCACTGCAAGCTGTCTGCAGCCACTGAAGCATGAGTTCAATCCCCAGCCAGGGAGCTGACCCACACGGAGCAGCAGACCTTTCCTGTCTCCCCGTTCCTCCCCTCAGCAGTATATTTCAGTTGACCTGCCTGCTCTGCTCCCCACTCTGTCTCTGGTGACTCTTCTCACCCCCGTATGTCTGTCCTGTACTCCAGTTCTTAAATGCATAAATAAATAAATAAATCTTCCTAAAAAGTGATGCATTAGCAATGATATTAAAGTAAAACGTAGGCTGCCATCGAAAAGTAGACAATGAATGACAATAGACAGTTAAGCCAGAGGATGTCAGCACCCATAGAAGCAATACTGATATTTTACTTATTTTTTAAATAAGTAGAGCACTGATATTTTACTTATTTTTTAAATCTCCTTGGGGAAAAAACAGAAATATGATGGGCAATGGAAATAGACCCATTTCTCTGTTATTTAAAAAAGAAGAACATACCAGTTGATAGCAGAGGCACCTCTGTGCCTGGGGAGGATCGATGGATGATAAATGATGGAACCGTGCTTTGGGCTGTCAATTACATCCATGGGGATAAACTGTGTGCAGAAGGGAAGAACATTCAGCTCAGCTCCCACGGATCTGTAGGCCTCGGCCACCTCCTTTATGGTGTTACCCTTAACTCTCCATCTAGGGAACTTGAACACAGGGGTCCCGTCTTTTTCGGCAGCTAAAGCTGAGCATAGGAAAGAATTATTAAAAAAAAAGTTAGCCATGATTTTGTATCGCTATGAATTCAGACATTGTATTTTTACAGATTCACAAAACATTTACAAATAAACCAGAGTGAAGAATAATTTGTGATCAGAATTTGACCCATCACAATTTTATCATGATCCATTTATTTTCCTAAAGTTATTTTTAATCTACATATTTAAGGCACAGTATATTTGAACTCAAAAGTTTGAGGTTAGGCAACATTTTGAGTTTTTAACTCAAGCCTTTGCTTTTGTAGACCCAATTCCCTACTGACACAGTCATTGGGAGAACATTTATTCATTGATTTTTTTTTAGATTTGCAGCTAAGTACCAATGTGTCACCACCCAAATGAGACATGTTCAGCCTCTGGCATGTATTTCTTCCTGCTCATTTTCTGGGGAGAAGTCTCTTACTACAGGGCAAACTATAGACCAGGAGATGCTATTTCTGTCAAACAGACAAATCCCAGCATAGAAAGGAAGAAAGTTGCCGAGCTGAGCTGAGCTTGTAGAGTTCCTTCTCCCCACTTCACCAGTCAGCCAAGAACAAGGCCAAGAACACACCTCCCCATAAAGGCTTTTGCAATAAGAGCATATGTGCTCTTGGGCCAACATTTTTTTAATCTGAACTCTTGAAAAGGAGTATTAAAGTATACTTTTTTTAATAGTAGCAGCAAGAATTAGGATAAACTCTAGAGCATCTGCTTCTGAGAGAAAATGGAAAAACTGTAGCAGTATCACATACTGTTTTCTAACCAGTGTGGCATCCCACCCGCAGTTTGTAAAGATCCATGTCAACGTCACGGTTTCTAATTGCTAGTTCTTCCCCCCAACCTCTACTGTTTGTAGGCTGTTTCTTTCTCTAGGCCTTGCACCCTTTCTCAACATAACTCTAGGCTGAAAATCGGGAGCACCCTGCAGTTTGCCTTGTGGCTGGCTATCTCTTTACCTCACCTGCCTGTGTGCAGCCTGGGTTGGGGGCCTATGGCTAAGAGATGGATGGCAGCTCAAATGCTGGGTGCTAGGTTCGATTACTGAAGTGAGCACAGAGTCCTTAGCTCAGCTGTCCCAGGAGAAACTCACCTAGTGGGTCAGCTTTTCCATCCTTGTCGGGAACTGTGAACACTCCCACAACTTGGTGGCCCTGTTTGCACAGGTGGCTGTAGACTTCCTGTCCAAAGAGGCTCTGGCCAATAAGGGCCAACTTCAGCTTGTTTTTTAAATACACCTGTGGAAGAAATTCAATGATGACCAACTGACTAATGATATTTTAGCATGGGAAGAAGACACACGTATAAGGTAACTCTAGGACTATTAAAAACTCTATGATCTAGAACTAAAAATTTGACCTACACTAAACTACATTACAAATAGATAGCAGTAAAAATTCACACCGAAGTATTTTTTATTTTCTCCTGGCTCTAATTTTGAACTGGGATTGCATCTATTTTCATAGGCCACTTCAATTCATTGGTGAAATGAGGCCATATATTAACCAAGAGAGTAGATTTTATAACTAAAAGGAGTTTGGACTCTAAGCAAGATCTACTTCCACATGACACTGCTTTATGCCCCTGCAATATCTAGTAGAAATAAAAACTGGAAGAGCCTTTTACCTCCAAAAGAGGTGAAGAGCAAACACTTCATGTAGCACAGGGATCAAAAACAGAGACCACACTGCTGGAGCACCTGAGGTCAAGATCTACAACTACCCCTTCTTAGCTGTGAGGTCTTAAGCAAATAACTATCTTCTAGTTGCCTTTTTTTTTTTTTTTTGCATCTGTAACACAAACATGGAGAATAGAGACAGCTCCTGGGTGAGGCTGATAAACAGAGAACATTTCAAAGACTTTAATAATGAGGGAGGCAAGCGAAAGAGCTGGCATCTTGAGGTGGACTCCAGTGCTTGCCAGAGGGACAGGACCTCGGTGCACGGTTTTACCTACTAGATTCAAACTGCAGAAAAATTTTAAATTAATTTTGAATTATGCATATAGTATATACACTATCTACCTATTAAAAAATAAATGATAGACTTCCCTTTGACCACCACTCCCAATTTAGGGTTCTTTATTCCTTCACAAAAGAAACCATTTCATAGAGTTGGGTGTGCATTAAATGCAACTTCTAGGTGCTCACATACATGGAAATGTCCACATAAAATATTATTTCTTGTTTTGGAAGATAATCCAAAGGAAAATCGTAGGATGCATAATGTCCTCTTTGTCAGTACATAGAATTCAGTCTTTAAATTTGTTGTGTAGAAATGATAGCATAGCTCTGTCTTAATTTATTTGTTCATTTCCCCACCAAGCTACATTTTGACTTTTAATATATTACTATTAAAATATGACTATGACAGATACAATGGCAATGAATATTCTTGTACATGCTTCATGTGTCCATTTACAAATGTTTTTCTCAGTATCTATATGTGAAATTTCAGGATTGTTTTTAAATTTAAATTTTAAGATAAGGTCAAATTGGCTTTCTGTCTATGTGAGGAACTATTTTATGACTCCTGTTAACATACAGTGATTTTTGTCAATCTGCTGCATGAAAAATCATATCTTGCTCCACTTGCATGTCCCCAGCTGCTAGTTTTCATATATTATTATCCATTTTTATTTCTTTTTTTGATGTATTGTCTGTTATTACTCTTTACTTAACCGCATCACCATTTGCTTACAAACATGTAAACTCTTTGGAGGTAGGTACTATTTAATTCTTACTTATTATTTTATCCTTTTGGTCATGACACTGAAAACAAGGTCTCGGTTTACTGACCTATAAAATAGGCATAACAATAGAGACTACCTCATTGAGATGTTATAAAGATTAAGCACATACAAAGATCAAGAGGCTGTTTTCAGGACTTAGACAAAGTGCTCAGCACTAATGTACAATTATACCTGGTTTGAAGTTGTACTTGGAGGAACTCAAAGCCAACAGACACCAAAGTAGAGCAGAAAATAAGCAAACAAATTAAGGAACTATTGTTAGAACTAATATATGAAGTCAGTTATTATATACGAAGTCTGTGAATCTTGTTGGTTCCAAGAAAAGATGCAGGACTTGAAACCAGGCTACAAGCCTAGAGCCACCAGCCAGATTTGTCCAGGACACTGGTAGAGGACGCTAAATAGGCATGTAAAATAAACATGAGAACAGTATAGTCCCCAGCCTGGGGATAAATCATGAAGCAGCAAGACAGGCAAATCATGGTGGTGGACAGTCACAACCTATTGACAAAGGCTTTATGGCTATATATAGTTGTACTAGCCAAAGAGATCCAGGTAAACCACTAAGTTGAAGTCATTAAGTATTTCTAAGTCCATTTCAGTAGGTTTTGGGTGACTGTGACAAAAACCTGTTTGGACATATTCATGAATAGGTATACGTGTGAACATTTGGTTTTCATCTCTCCGGTAAATATCTAGGAGCACAATTGCTGAGCCTGTTAGTAGATCTATGGTTTATAAAAACTGCCAAATAGTTTTCTAAAGTGACTGTATTATTTTGCACTCACAGCCACCTTGTTTGGTTTTTAATAATTCCTAAGACCATAGTTGAGAGGATGGAGCCCTATTTTCTACAGAGTAAAATATACCAAATTCTTTATTTATCATTCAATGTTTACCTTTTGCTCATCTTCCCAGTCAAGTGCCGCTGTATCCTGGGTACCACCTCACTTAGGCCTGTGGCCTCTGGCTATTCCTGGCACTGCCCCACCTGCATGTTTTCATCTAGTCATTTGCCACCTAGGATGTTTACCCTTCGTTACAGAATCTTATGTCACCCCCACTACTATTTTCTTTTCATTTTTCAAGATCCTTTTAAGCTCTTTTTTAAAAAAAAAAAGACAATTCAATGAAAGGCATGGACATAGGAAGCCAAGAAAACAGGCGCAAGCCCCTTGCCTTCTGTAACATCCACCCAGATTCCCATGTAGCATGTATAGAAGAAAGCTAAGGAGACCTGAGCAATGCTTACCATACCAAGCTGAAGTTCTGGGAAGGCAAGCCTTTTTTGTCATTGCTATATTTTTTAAAAGAAGAATATGCCATAAAGTAACTAGAATTGATTAATTGATTGCAAGGTATAAAGTGAATTTTCATTATTTGGGGTTATCTGGGGGGAGAAAGTGTTTTCCATTATGCAACTTTGGGCGAGTTCTTGATGCTACTCATTACTAGTCTCTGCCTCCAAGCTTTTAGCAATGGATATGCTTGCAAGCACATATGATAAGACTTTTCAATTTGAAGACAAATGGAAAGGCAAATTCGTTCATAATAACACAACAAACATGAACTTCCTATAAAGGAGACGATTTGCGCAGCCGGATTTTGCCCCTTCTTGAAGAGCTTGGCGTCTGCTGAGAGAGATGCAAGGAGGCTTTTCTCCCAGGCCTGCGAAGCGCTGGAACCAGCCCCACATGCAACGTGTCGACTCTCATTCCATTTCTGGAGGAGCTGATGCAATTCCAGGGCCCGGGGCTGGGCCAGAGCTGCAGTTTAACAATGTTCCAGGGTGGCTGCTTCTGCAACACCCAATACTCCTAGAAATCTTGCCTCCTGCCATTCAGGCATAATGAGCTTGCAACCACCAGCGCTGAGTGCCAGCCATTATCTGAATGGGCCTGGCATGCCAGTTGGGAGAGCGCACACAATTAGATTGTTGGGCACACAATTGCCCAAGAGGAACTGGCTGACTTTTCACTACGCTCCCTCTGTAACAAGGATCTCCCCATTGAAATGAAAAAGGAAAGAAATCCAGCTGTCTCCCTTGCCAAGTGACTGTCTCCACCGTGTCAATCCCAACCAAACCTCAGATGTTCACAAGCAGCATCCTCACCCCCTTTCGGGTAGAACAAAATGATTCTCCGGACAAACCCCATTCGAGACCCTCCCTTAACCCTCGCCGCAGTCTCACAGTTTTAAAATTGCCTTCTTGGCTTTTAGCAAAGTCTACACAACGCTGCCCACCCCCGGCCCTGCCCCCGGCCCTCCCGCCGCAGGGTCTGGAATCCAGCCTACAGCGAGAGCGGGGGCGCTGTGCCGGGGCAGGACTCACCCGGCTGGTGGAGAAGCGCCGGAGCGCCTGGCTGCCGCGCCGCAGCATGCTGGAGAGGAGCGTTCGGCCCCGCAGCTCCGCCGCGCGGGAAGCGGTCGGCGGCTCCGCCTGCGAGCGGCCAGGGGCCTCGCAGCCACGGACTTGGCCCCGCCCCTCAGCTGGCACGGCCCCGCCCCCTCCAGCTGGCAGAGCTGGGCGGCCAATCCACGCGACTGGGCGGGGCCAGTGCCGGTCGCCCGGGACTCGGGGACCATATCCCCTGTCCAAGAGGAGGGACCGCTACGGGGTGATGCTTCAGGTCCGGACAAGGTCCAGTTACTACCAGTTAGTTACTCAGGGACCTGCCTTATGAGTAGTCGACCTGATACCTAAGTCGTGGCCTTAACACTCTCCTGCCAAGGCAAGAAGGATTGTGCGCCTTGGCTGTGGAAGGATCCAGACCCTTGTAATAATCGACTATGCTTAAAGCACTTGCCAAAGGGTCTGGCACAGACCTTGTCCTGATAGATGACGCTTAGCAGTGACAGAATGTTCTATGAAGGCTCGGGCATATTTTGATTGAGCACTTGTCTCAAACAGAACTCCTGAGCCTTCTGCCATTTGGCATTTACTCATATTTCTCCGTGCTCATTTGCACATGTAATTTAGCCTAAACTAGTACTCGCTAGAAAAGGCCTGTCACCTGTCGTTTATTGCAATCCCAGCAAGACCACATTGCTTGTTTTTCTGAAGGAATTTTTCCTGATTCTTTCTTCCCATAATCCCCTTACTTCTCCCAAATAGTCTTCTACTCCTCTGAGCTGGGAAGAACTTTTGTCCATGCATCTTTTAGAATGTCTCTACCTGCCACCAGCATGTGTGTAGCTGTCATCCACTCTACTTGCTGGACCTTGCAGGCTGAGTCCATGTTTAAGTTAAAGGGGATTGCAGTATTTAGTAACAGACTAAAAAGCAAAATATTGGATGTTTGGTACATTTCTCCAAGCTTTTAGGGTGGCTCTTTTCCTCTCCTTCTTTTCTTAAATATATTCATTCACTCATTTTTCTCTCTTTCAATGAGTAGTTAAAAATTCTGCTGTTTTCAACTTGCGGTATCTGTTTGTTCTTTTTAAAAAGATTGATTTATTTATGCATCCCAGAACGGGGTTATAGGCCAGAGGTGCAGGGTGTAAAGGATTCACCAGAGTGGGGAGCAGAACAGGTAGACTGACTGAAACAGTGGGCAAAACAGGAGAGGTTTGCTGCGCCCTGGCTGGGGGACAGAACTTGTGCTGCAGTGGCTGCTGATAACTTCATAGTCTGTTCATTTTTAAGATACATGGGGTTGGCTATAAAACCAAGCTGCACATGGCTAGAAAGCAAAGCTGAGTTTTCAGTAACAAGAAATGGGAGTTCAGCACCTGCCAAGAAGGAGGAAGGGCAGTAAATACCCCATTCTCAATGGCTCAAAGACGTCAATGTCCTGGGGAAGTGGCTGAGTGGGGGAAGGATCATAGGGAGGGAGTGGGGGTGAGGGTTATTGTTTTTCATAAAGACTTCTAAACCAGGTCCTGGAAATGCTTTTCTGTAAAGGGTTAGACAAAATTTTCAAGAATTTGCAGGTCATATAGTTTCTATTGCAACTATTAAATTATTACAGTGCCATTAAAGTGCAAAAGCAACCACAGATGATATATAAACAAATGTATGTATCTGTATTCCAATACAACTTTATAGACATTAGAATTTGAACTGCTTGCAATTTTCACATGCCATAAAATACCCTTCTTGATTTTTTCAAACACTAAAAAACATGAAAATCATTTTTGTGACTGCATTGTATAAAAATAGACAGAATTTGGAAAGACTAGTTTGCTTGTATCAAATGGTTCCATCATTGCTCTAAACAATGTGGACTTATAAATGCCAAAATAAACAAAACTTCAACACACCTCTTGCAAAACAAGGACTAGAAGGGACTTTACTTTTATCTCGACAAGGTGTACATAAAGAAAAATTACATCAAGTATCTTTCTTTTCATGGTCAAACCTGTGTGCACTTAAAAAAAAAATCAGGAACATGACAAAGATGCCTGCTATCATCATTTCTGTTCAACACTGGTCAGTTTAGTATAACCTAATTCTTTAATAAAATGTGAAATGCTAGCCTGTGGAATTAGATTTAAAGATGTATAAATTTAAAATAGTTAACCGCTAAGACTTAAGGAAAGAATTATATTGACTCAAACTAGCCTACATGGCCAGCCTGGGGTTGTGGTTGATATATTCCATGAGTACATGAACAAACTAAATAACTTCTCATCAATCCCATTAAGTGTTGACTATTAATCTCCCCATTTTACATATGAGGAATTTGAGTCTGCGTTGAAATGATCTGACCAGGTATCACATGGCTAGAAAGGAACAGCTATGACTTGGACCTACACAATTTGGCTTTTCAATGATGAACACTTGAGTTATAATTCAATACTGCGTCCAAAAAAAAAAAGTTTAAAACTTAAAAAGTGAGAGGAAAAATATCTCAAACTCTAGATATTGTTTCAAATATGGGGAAAAGAAATACACCCAGCAGGACATTCCTGGACGAGGGGATAAAAAAAGGATTCTAAGGACAGGGCTGTGAAGCAAGATGCAATAGATGTAATTCTGGGCACAGAGACATTACAACAGAGTGAGTGAGACCACATACAACTAGCCAGCCAAACTGGTTAGTTCTCTATAAACAGACCAGATCTGCTCTTTTCTCCTGCTTGCTCGGCTGCGGCCTCCAACCTCTGCTGTCTAGTGGCTCTGGCAAGGCCCACGCAGGGAGGAGGGGCGGCCGCCTCCGGCCACGCGCAGGACTCGCTTTCCCAGCGGTCCCCGCGGCCCGCCGGGGCCAAGGCCCGGCCAGCCCTCCCGACGGGGGCGGGGCCAGGGCCGGAAGTCACGTGAGGTGACAGCGCCTTGCGGTCAGGTTGCCGTCAGCGCCCAGGCTGCTTGGGCTGTGCCTGGGGGGGGGCGTCGGGGTGATGGCGGTGGAGACTCTGTCCCCAGACTGGGAGTTCGACCGCGTTGACGACGGCTCACAGAGTAAGGGAGCGGCAGGGCCAGGGCTGCGGGCGGACGCTCCCCGGCCCAGCTCAGCCCTGGCGGCGCCCCTGCGGGTGGCTCCGCGTCGCGATCGCTGCGCTGCCATCCCGTCCGGGACGCTCTGTGCCCCTTGGGGTGTGAGGATGCGCTCTCGAGCGTTCCTGTCGGGGTGGCGGGTCCCAGCATTGGCGGGTCGGGCTGATGCTGTTGGACTCGGCGGCTGCGGCTGTGATTCTCGTGGGGAGCTCTTCGGCGCCTGGGGGAGCGGCGTCCACTCTGCAGCCCAGGGGCGCGGGCGGGGCGCGTCCTGGGAGGCCCAGCAGCCGAGGAGCTGAGCCGGCCCCTCTCCGGCCTCTCGGTCTTCACCGGCTCATCAGAGCGTTTCAATTCTAGAAAAGGCTGAAGTCCGAGTTCCTGTTTCGGTTTCCTGTTTTTCTTGCTTCCCCCCCAAACCTACTTTTGGGAGTTTGAATGTTTTTTCCTTCATGTTCTTCTAATTGTACAAGATAGACAAAAGGAACTCTTCACACGGTAAAAATAAACACGAATGTCAATTTCTCTCCGGCCACGTCCTTTCCTTAGGTTAAGTGCTGTTTTTCAGTGATGTCCTGAATTTTCCATTGCAGCTAGACAGGTTTCAGGAATTACAGCCGATCTGGTGCAAATTATGCTTTGTAAGCTCTCATTGTCTGATTTAAACTTAAAAGTCCAGTCCCTACCACCGCCCCAAAAACACGAACATTCCATTCTAGGCAGCAAAATTGAGAAGTCAAACTATCTTGGGAAACTCTACTGAAGATTAATATAAATTGGTAGTAGGTTTCTTATTTTGGTGATATTAATCTGTATATTTGACACACAGATACTGGGATGTATCCCTTGTGAATTGTTTTTTTAAATGCAGTTTTCCCAAAAGGATCACCATGTTATGATTTTGTTTTTGTTTTTCCTTTTTAAAAAATTTCTTATTTGTATACTTTGTGTTTCTTTTTACTTATTACATTTCATTTCTTTCTTACCTCTTTATTAACGTTTACCAATTTTACAACTGTTCATTATCTTATCCACAAGGAACTTTAATGTCATTCAAGGTTTTTTGTTGCCTACTAATTTTTGAATTCCCAGACCAAATAAGTAATTTAGTAGTATATTTCTCTAGCATTGCCACTAATAACTCATTTGCTCCTTAATTGGGTCTTTGGCTGGTTCTGTGGCATTTCCCATGTAACTGAGAATCAGACATGTACTTGGGATTCTGGGACTCTTACACAGTTTTATATTTAAGCTTTCACGAAGAGGAGACATTTCTTTCTTATGCTTAGTTTTCATTACTTTTTGGATGTATTTTAGACTGTCTTATATCCAGACTAATTGTTTTCCAGAATAGCCTGTGCTGATGCCATGAGGAGATGGGCACCTTAATGAACTCAATTGATCTTCCTGACTCAGAACATTAGTTGCAAAATAAGGGAGAACTGGGAACTTTACATTAGTTGGCTAGAAGATAATTTACCTATTAGGCATTATAGGAATAATTCATTGTGAAGAAAATGGGTGTGAAACCCTTGGAAAACAATAGGTATTTTTTAAGCAGTTTATTGTGAACAGAATTAAGAATTACATTTTGAAATTTTGCTTCTATGACAGCATAGATTTTTGCACCTGATTTAGGTCATGTCTGTTTCTTTTCCTACAAAAAAGTTGTTTATGACTAAGACATAGGACCAGGACACTTGAATTGTTTTAGGTTTTATTCAGATTGTTTAAAAGCCCTGGATTATAAAGTAAGTAGGATAATGACTCAAAATATTTTAAAGATATAGTTTTAAGATGATCTTTTTATATACATCTACAATGTTGCTTTTAAAAGTATTTTTTTCTATTAGGAGAAGACTGAAAGTGGATTATTGTTTAGCTTTGAAAACTTTTTTCAGGAAGTCCAGACATTCCCAAGTAATACCTTTAATAACGTTTACTACCCACTTGGTTGTGACTTTTGTAATTATTTGAAGTAAATGTCCGCTAATTCATTACCTGTACTTCTCATGTACTGTTTTAAACTTTAAATTT